TTTTTTTTTTTTCTTCGAAAACAAGAAGCAAAGATATATTGAAGAAGAATAATCAAGCAACGATCGTTAATAAAATATACAAACATGGAACATTTATATCTTGTGTCATATAATCGATCAATAGTAGTGTTATTATGCATAACGATTATATGCACTACATTACTTGGTAAGTAGATATTTAAAAAATAAATGTACGTAGTAGGATTTTTTAGTTCTATTGTTGTACATTCATGATTAGGAGAGTATCCTTCCGTCACAAAAGTTCATCTATTTTTGTACATTCATGATTATGAGAGTATCCTTCCGTCACAAAAGTTCATCTATTTCTGTACATTCATGATTATGAGAGTATCCTTCCGTCACAAAAGTTTATCTATTTTTAATAATAGTCATAGTTAAAATCAGGACAAGTAGTTTTTTTCCGGAATAAATGATTACACATTCTTAACATAAATTCACTTGTTATTTTGATAATGTTTGAAATGTATATTTGTCATGCTTTTATCCGCCTGCTGTGTAATATCGTCAGTTGTTAATGTAGCCTAAAGGATAAATGCCTAGATTTGTCATTCAAAACTGTATCAAGGATTGATAAGCAGAGATCAAACAGCTGCAAATACATCTCATTAGTTTAGGAGATTATACCCTATTTTTTTTTATTATCAATCTAAAAATAATAATAATATTTACTGTCTTTTGTTTTTGAGCAGATGTGAGTAAATGTCAAGATTTTCGATCACCATTTGGTGCTCTTGTTGATTGTGATAATCAAAACCATGTTAATTGTTCAGATGAACAACGTCTTTTATATTTTTTAATGCGGTAAGAAATATATTTTAAAATCTTTTGTTTTTTTTTTTTGGATTTATTATTCATATTTTATAATGTATAGTAATTATTCAAATAATGTACGACCAGTACGAAATGCTAGTCTACCAGTACCAGTTAAATTAGGTTTAACATTAACACAAATATTTGATATGGTTAGTGTAATTAATTTTAAACAATCGAAACAAAAAAATAGATTTGTTTTATTTATAATTTTTAGATGGAAAAAAATCAAATATTGATAACAAATGTATGGTTAGATCAAGAATGGTACCTAAAATATTTAAAATTCATTTATTATTTCATATATTTTATACTTTTTCTTATAGGTATGATGAATTTCTTCAATGGGATCCAGCTGATTTTAATGGTATTCGTCGTCTTAATCTTCCATCAAAACTTATTTGGTTGCCTGATATTGTTTTATATAATGTAAGAAAAGAAAATTTCTCTATTGAATAATTCTAATTATCAAAATATTCTAGAATGCTGATGACTTTTCTAATAGTAATGCAATGCAAGCAAATGCTATGCTTATTCATAATGGCAGTGTATTTTGGCCAATACCAACACGTTTAAAAAGTACTTGTCAAATTGATGTAACCTATTTTCCATATGATGAACAAGAATGTAAATTAAAATTTGGTAGTTGGACTTATAATGGTTATCAAGTATCAATTGAACAACGTTTTCATGCTATTGAATTATCAAATTATGTTCCAAATGGTGAGTGGGATTTAGTTGATACATCATATCAAGTAAATATTGTTCGATATGCATGTTGTCCAGAACCATTTCCAGATATAACATTTTATGTTCGTATAAGACGACGTATTCTATATTATTTATATTCAGTTGTTTTTCCTTGTGTTATGCTATCGATTTTAACTTTACTTGTTTTTTGTTTACCACCTGAATCAGGTGAAAAAATTGCACTTGGTATTACAGTTTTACTTGCATTTAGTGTATTTATGTTAGCTATTGCTGAAAGTATGCCAGAAACAAGTGAACACATTCCATTAATAAGTAAATTAAATAATTTTTAAGTTTTTAATTTGTTTCTTTTTTCTAAATTTATATTTAAGGTTTATATTTAACTGCTGTTATGGCTATGACAAGTGTATCAGTTATGATGACAGTATTAGTTCTTAATCTTCATTATCGTGGTCCGAAAAAAAATGAAATACCATTTTGGCTTCAACAATTATTAAGTATATCATTAGCAAATGTTGTTCGAACAATGAAAAGAACAAAAAGATTTAAAATACATAGAAATAAAGGAGAATTACGACCTAGAATAAGTTTTCCTGATAAAAATAAAATTCAAAATACAACAGATTGTTCAGCAGTCAATGGACTTTTATTATCTTATATGACTATTAATGAAACTAATAGTAAAACACCAATAACAACTGATGTAAGTAAATCTTATATAGGGTGTTAAAAAACCTTTACGCCTCCCTAGGTTCGACCTTAAGATAAAATGATTTCACTAAGTATTTTATACCAAATCGAAGCCCGTAAAAAACTGCATTTATTGGTACTAAATAGTAATGGTTATGAAGACGTTTTAATGTCGAACTTATGAGATTTTCAGAAATTTGATATCTTTTTTGGTGTAGAAGAGTAAGATGCCAGTAATTCAAATACGACATAAAACATTTTTCTTAGATATTTTTACATGATTCGATAGAACTCGACGAGCTCTACAAAACTATATATTTCAAAAATACTTTGAGCCATCTTTTTGTGATAAAAAGTTCAAAAACTACACGGAAAACCAAAAAAATATTTGAAAACTTTACTTTTTCATATGGAAAAAAAACACTCGAGTTTTCAATAAAATTAAGTTTCATTGATTATTTTTTCCTGTCTTAGACGTTTCGAAATGCACTCATTCGATGCAATTTTTCACGCGGTATCGAATGAGCACATTTCAAAATGTCTGAGCTAACATAACTAATGGAAAAAACTAATATTATTAAAAAAGTTGGGTGTTTTTTTGCATATGAAAAAAAGATGAATTTTTTGACACATTTTTTGATTTTCCGTGTAGTTTTTGAACTTTTTTGTCACAAAAAGATGGCTCAAAGTATTTTTGAAATATATAGTTTTGTAGAGCTCGTCGAGTTCTATCGAATCATGTAAAAATATCTAAGAAAAATGTTTTATGTCGTATTTGAATTACTGGCATCTTACTCTTCTACACCAAAAAAGATATCAAATTTCTGAAAATCTCATAAGTTCGACATTAAAACGTCTTCATAACCATTACTATTTAGTACCAATAAATGCAGTTTTTTACGGGCTTCGATTTGGTATAAAATACTTAGTGAAATCATTTTACCTTAAGGTCGAACCTAGGGGGCGTAAAGGTTTTTTAACACCCTGTAGAATCATTTCTTGAAAAAGAAAAGAACAATAAGAACAATATTTTATATTGTGAATTCTAAAAATATAACTTGAAGTGAACTTTATATAAAGTAGGTTCTTTTTTTGGTTAATTATATTCATTAGAACATTTTCATTTAATACTCTTAATAAAAACTAATTAGTGTATTAAAACAAAGAAAGATATAGTTTTTCTGTGTTATCTTGTATATTATTATTAGAGGATGACGTGTGTAATATGTATGTTGCATTAATATTTTGTTCATCATAATATATTTTTAATGAAAGAAAAATGATTTTACAATATAAAAACGTTATCTCATCGGCAAGAGAAATAAAATATTCTCCAGAGAAAAGCGTAATATTATCTAATTTTATATTAGTCACATAATTAAAAATAAGAGTTTTTGCGTAGATAAAAATAAATATATTCTCTTTCAAAATGTTTCTATTTTAAAGCCAAATTCAATCGAACTTGACAATTATGATGTTCAAGAACAACAAAACCCACCATCACCACAAAAACAACAATTGGAAGAAAATAAATATAAACGTTCAACACATTTACTTCCTGAAGAAATTCATCTAAAAGATCGATTAATATCACGTTCGAGTTCAATTGCAACAATTCATGATGACATTCAAGATACATTACAAATTCTATTACATAAACAAAAAGAACTTGAACATGATCAAAAAATAACAAATGATTGGCGTGTTATAGCAACAAAAATTGATAAAGTTCTTTTTTGTATTTTTTTTCTTTTAACAATCATATCAACATTAGGTCTTCTTGTTGTTGTACCAATTTTTCGTACTACTGTACAACAAAAAACCAAACTATGGAAAGGATCACAACGTCAATAATCAATAAAAAACATATATTTATGTGTTTGTGCGTGTGTATTTTTTTTTAATAATAATAATAATAAAAACTATTTTTTCTTTCTTTACCATTGTTGTGCATGTTCAACTAAATTTGATTGATATCCACATTTTGGACATTCAATAGTATTTCCTTGTGGAATATAAGGTGAAACATATTTACAATTTGGACATACTTTTTGTGCAACATTATATAATATATTTGTTGAAGATATAATACGTACTGGTTCATTTATATTTGATCGATTATTACTGCTAGGTGATAGGGACCAAGATTGAGATGATTGTGATAAATTTGATAATTTTTTATTACTTATAGCACTTTGTACAGGTAAAGAATGAACGATTGGATGAATACTTGATATTTTGTTATAACATTTTATAAAAAGAATAACATAAATAATGGAAAGCATAATATAGATTATTGAAAAAACAAGTTCACATGAAATAAAAGCTCTTTTAAGAATAGTATACGTTGGTGATGAATACGATGTTGATGATGTTTGAGAACATTGATATCCAAAACATAATGTAAAATTAGTAGCAATAAAAGCTATTGAAAAACCTATGACAACAAGCATTACTAATATTGATATTATTTGAAGAAATAATGTAATCATTGCTTTTGTTAGTGTATTTTTTGCACAAACTAAATTACAAATTATATTTTTGATCAAAAAATTCATTTATCGTACCACATGCATATGTAGCTAATGTTGCTGAAATCATAAATGGAAATGACCAAAAACCTGCAAAAATATTAGCTCTAAATAAATCCACTACTGTATTACCAATTTCCATGCCAACAATTGTAAATGTCATAATTAATTGAAATGTCGCCAATATTCCTACTGGCCATGAATACCAATATCGTTCCCAATATATTGACGATGGTACACGATAAACTTTTCTTTTTACATTGGTTGTATTCATATTTGTTGTTGTTGAACTGTTAGAAGAAAAATTATTTTGACTGACTACTCAACAGTTTGTGTAGTACTGACAAAAAAAACAATCGATACTTTATTTTGATCAAAGTAATCTGAAGGATTACTCAACATCTTCTATTTTCTCTTTAAAATATAAACATTTTTTCTTATTCTGTATTCATTTTTATATTGATTCAAACTTGAATAATCATTATAATTTTAACACTTGTTTAGCAACCGTTTTTTTGTTCTTCTTATAAGAAAATTTTATAATTTTCAAGATGATTAGATAAATTTTTATTTGATTTACTATCATTTTTGTTCCTATTGAAAAATTACTTTAGGAAAAGATTTATAATATATGTGGATGATTATTAAATACAATCGAAAATAATATATATATACTCTTAAATAAAATTCTAGCAAACTCGATCATTCATCTTTACACAACAAACATAAAGGACGTTATTTTTATGCGTCAAGAAAAAAGAAGTGCATGGCAAATATATTCTATCAAGTATTGCACTTAATAAAAATCAAACTGAGCAAGGTCGAATAAATCACTAATTTGCGTTGGTGATATTCTGTATTCAAGAAATCTATCAAATAATCAAATAAATGCTACTGAAAACTAATTAATAAGTTGCTAAATTAGTCATCATTATAGACTTTATATAAATTAATAATTAAGTGAAGCATTGTATTGAGACTCATAATAGAGATGAGAAGTACTTATATAATGAATTATATCGCATCAATGTTTCTAAATATATACATTGCAGATTGCTATTTTATATTTTGATGATTTTGAAAATGAAACATTGGGAAAAATTTTGATGAAACACGAGATAATAATAATCGGCATTAAATTGATGTCATTCATTCTCCGATCCGCAGTAGAAGGTTTTGTTTGTTTATAGAGAAAGATTGTCCTTCTTTATGTTTCCAACATTCAAGATAATTAAAGTAAAAAAACAGTCGAAAAAATTAGACGCTACTCTTGTTTTTTTGTCGTAATGTAATTCAACTAAATGAAAACACTCTAAGATTCAGTTGTAAGAACAACAGATGCTAGGCCATGAATAAAATAAACAATTAGATGATCAATGCATTGTAATATTCATACAAAGAGAATGTTGTTAAATATTCGTCGGGGTTTCGTTTTCTGATTAGATTTTAAATTCAACAAGATGAAAAAGAAAAACATATCTTCAAGATACTACCTAATACCCGCGTCAGAACTTAAGAGAACTGGGTATAGTCTTAATAATTCGACAATGGTAGCAACTAAAGATCTGTGATTTTCAGCAATCGAAATAGAAGAACTCCGGAAGTGTTTTTGTTTAATAGTATATATGACAAAATTATTTTAAAACTCATCATCTTCTCAAAACATTCAAAAAAATCCGTGAAAACAGTGTTTCGTTTCAATAAAATTTTAATGAAAAGTTAGAATATTTGCTACAAATCAATAGAATCCTATATAATTTTATCGAATAACTACCCAATTTTGTTTGCCTAACATTCCGATCTGAGAGGAATAGCTACCTGAACCATCTCTTGAACTAACGTCCAACATTCCTCTCTTTGAATTGCTGAAAATCGCAGATCACTAACTATTGCTATTGTCAAATTATTGAGCTTACACTCATCTGTCTTTAATTCTGATGAGGACATTAGTTAAATTTTTATAATAAAGAAAACAAAAACATAAAATTCCTTTGATTCAGTTAAATAATAGACTTGATTTATTTGATTGATGCGCGGAATAACTTTAATAAAGAGTAAATGACAATGTGTATATATGACAAGATTAATCGTTTTATTTACTTCATAAATCCAAAGAACAGAAAAGGTTAAAAAAAAAACTTCTAACTAAGTTATTAATATTATGTGTGTATGACAGATCAGTTTAGAATCTAGTTGACATCAGAGTATTATTTTGAAATACAAAGAATACACTAATAATATATTTTTTGAGTACATGATCTCTAAAAAAATTGTTTATCGATAATTTGATGAAAAGTTTTTTTTAGTATATTTTCACTGAAGATATTTAGAGATAGTTATACTATTTATAAGTAATAAATTAATTGCTACATTTTTTTTCTATTAAATTGAATATATAGTTCAACAATTTATTTTATGATGGTTCGGAAAAAATGATTATTTGATCTGTTATTAATCGCAAACGATTATAGTAGTGCAATATAAGTAATTAGTATTTGTTATTCACACTGGGAAACACAATGAAAATTTATTGAATATTGTTTCACATGGTAGTTTTTTTGTATTAAGTTCATCAATATAAGATAGCATTTAAGTATTGCAAGCATCCATTTCATTTCAAAACTTTGATACGAAAAAAAGGAAAATAAATGTGCTATATAATTAGAAAACCGGTCATAATTTGTGAGTATTCCTTACTTGTGTCATAACAAGAAACATAGATAAATAAGATTCAAATCAATAAACAAATGACGTAGAACTCTCACATTTATTAAATATTATTCAATCATATAAATGGAAAAAAACTGTACTGTACAAATATTTATATTAATATATTGTAAATTATTACGAACCAATCACTTATCTTATATCCATAAATTCTGAAATTTGAATTCAACATTTATTCACTATATTCTTTTTTATTTGTTGAATTTAATGTGCCATTTTTTTGTGTGAACTCTTTTAGAAGTAAATTGTATCATTTGTCATAAAATTTGTTTTAGAGGAAAGAATAATTTTTATTATATATCCAAACAGGAAATACAATTCCCTAAAAAAAACGTGCATGACAAACTAAAATTTTCAAATCATTCTAAGCTTTTACAACATTTGAAAATAGAAAAGACTATTTTCTGCCTAAAAAGAAAACTTGATTGTTTCCTAATAAATCCAATGCATTTCAGTCTAATAAGAAAATGTCAATTATGGTTTTTTTAAAAATATACACAATAAAAGTTCTTCTCATTTATACAACTTCTATTTATTGTACAGAAACTATCATCACAAATTTTCTTTAATCAAATTCAGAAAATTATGTATATTAAATTAATTAAACAGCTCTTCTCATGAATGATCCAAAAGTTTCTGGACAAAATATTTGTTTATTATTGATCCATGTGAAAATATTCTAAACGAATGAAAAATACTATAGGTTAGAACTAAAATTCTATCCTCTTTCCGAAGATGGACTTAGGCATGACGTATTGATTTATGTTCGAAAGCAGTGAGAGAATTTTTCAAAGTTCTAAAAAAATTGATTGGAATGGTGAACAAACAGATTTTTGCTAACTCCATTAAGTTCTTTTGCGAAAGTGCTAAAAACTATTAAACTTGTGAGGGAATCTCTTCAGTTGCCTTCTACCGATCTCAACGATTTTTTGCCTATAGATGTTACATAGTATTTGAATAGAAACCGTAGAACGATTTCGGTTCCTATTGAGATTTGACTAAACTATCGGATTTTTATTCCATGGATAGTGTATACAAGATGCATTTTTTGAAAGCTTCATGGCTCGAAGAGATTTTGTTCAAATTTCGAAATTTTTTTTGGAAGCTAGTCTAGTTAAGTTTTCTATATGCGCAACGTTTCAGAGTAAAATTCGAAAATACGACTTTTCCGAAAATGCCAGGCTCCTAGAAAGTAGACATGGACAAAAATGATTATATAGATAAAGTAAATTAAATTTTGTAAGATCCAATAAAATTTTGTAAGATAGCAAATAATGAATCAACAGAAGAAGAAAACCAAATTAATAATAGACTGTTCAAATTATTGAAAGTAAAGAAAGTCATGAAAAAAAATATGATGAATTATTTGTTTCAGGTAGTTCAAGTCCAGTGCTTTATTGTGCAGTGAACGTGACAAGATCGAAGAATACGGAGTTCGTATACGTTCATCTATCTCCTCGGCCGTATACGGTAAAATATGAAGGAAAACAGAGGTCGTATACGGTGTTAAACGATTGTATTTTATCCTAATACGATTAATATACGATACTTTTTCCCACATAATACAGTTATATCAACCATTGTACATAAAATTGGTCTTAAAAAATAGGATAAAATAGTTTATACTTACCATTGATTTACTTGATGCCATATGGTAATCTAAAATAAAAAAAAGAATAAAATAAATAGTTTATACTTACTATACATTATATTGATGTAATAAAATGATTTTAAATGAAGGTACCATTATCATCCTTAACGTGTTTAATTATGCACACCCGCTTTTGCAACAGTTCAACAAAATTTAACATGCGTCGACTGTATACCATGACACACAGTGATATCCAGGTGGATCATTCCGGCCGTCGGAAACGGCTATAAAACGGCGAATTACTGCAGTAATTTTGGCCTTATTTCGCCGTATTCTGTCAAACCGTATTACGGGTCGTTTCTATCGCTAGGAAACGGTCGTCGTTTTTTCTCGGTTGTGCTTCCGTAATCTGGTATGACGGATTACAGCACCGTTTATCGATATTTTACATTGTTAATCGCCGTTTTATAGCCGTTTACGACGCCGTTTTATTTGACCTGGGCATATGACAATATGCGGCAATCATATATGTCATATTTTTCTTCGTAAACGGTCAATTAAGACCATGCCTGTTCGATCTTGGTACATAAACTCAATTTTCCTTTAAGACCAATCATTGCAATGTATAATACTCTAAATTATATAGTTGCAGTATTTCCTGCTAATATGATAAAGAAGTGGAAGAAAGAAAGTCATCATTATGTTAAGAACTCATTTCAATTTGTCAAGATTATGAAGAAAACATTAATTAAAACCAACGAATTAATAATGAGCTTTGATATTGAATCTTTGTATTCAAATGTACCAGTCACTGAAACCATACAGTTAGCTGTCGATATCATATGGGATAATAATAAGATTCATAAATTTACAAAAGATTACAAAAAATGAACTCTTTATTATATTTAATTTGGCAGTTAGAAATTTACCTTTTCGGTTTTGTCGGTATTATTTTCAAATAAAAACTATGATAATATTATTAAGTACAGCAACAAATTGAAATTGTAATAAATCAACCATTGATTGATCTTATAATCTATATGAATAAATTTCGGTAAATAAATTTTTTCTTTTTTATTATAATTTTCATAAAACTATAACAAATGACAAAAAAATTAGTCAAATGTTTTTTTATTTTGGGTTAAATTTTCGGCCATATTAAGATCATCGTCATTGTTTTTATTTGTTTACAAAAATCCATGTTATTCTATTAAAAATTGTAGGTATTATTTTCGTTAGACTGATGGAGTGGCTATAGGCTCTCCATTTGCTTTTATCTTAGCAGATATATATGTTAAGAAATTAAAAGAAGATTATATAATGCAGTGCGAAGAACTTAAAATCAAGAAATGAATGCATTATGTAGATGATATATTTGCGATAATGGATGGATCACAAGAACATGCTTGAAAAATATTAGATTATTTTAGTGCATTACATATAAATATTAAGTTTTACTCTAGAGCTAGAAAATAATGATATGATTCAATGTTTTGATGTCAAGGTATAAAAAGTATGAAATGCATTTGAAACATCAATTTATAGAAAAAAAAACTAATACTAATTCATCGATGAAATGAAACGTATGTTTCCCTAAATACCAAAACAATTGGACTTATTACATCATTGATAGTAAGAGCATATAGGGTTTGTTCAAATAATGCTCTTTTGAAATTTAAGATTGATTATTTATAAAACGTGTTAATTAACATTAGGTACCCAAAGAAGGTAATAGAAAAGATCATAAAACATATGATATGCGAAGAGAATAAAAAAATAAAAATCAACAATCAAATAAGAATACAAATATGAATTCAAATAGTGATAATGAAAGAATAAATATGGCATTGAGTTATGTAGGTCATGAATCTTTTATATTTAATCGTAAGCTCATGCATATTTTTAGAAGATTTCATTTGTAGCACAGAAAATTTTTTAAAAATAACAGAACAATTGGTGATAGATTTAAAGAGAAGATCAAAAGTGATTATATTAACAACATTGAGGTAGTTTATAAAATAGAATGTGCTGAGGTTCATTTTGGTCAAATTGGCAACGGTGTTGAAGAAAGAATAACACAACATCTAGATAATGTGAACAAATTTAATTCAGTACTTAGTAATATTGTAAAACATATAAGAATATCGAGACATAATTTTTAATTTGCTAAACCAAAAGTACTAGTATATGATAATAATAAAAGAAGGCGAGAAATCAAAGAGACATTATTAACACTTAGAAATTTTCACTTTTACAAAATGTAATATGAAACTGAACTATTGCTTCTATCCAAGTGAAGCTAGAAACATTTTATCAGAAGGTATGTTTCATGTAAATTACTTATTCATTACAAATGAGAATGATAGGAAAACAACCGTTTTGGTACTTTATTGTAAGACAAGAAAGAATTCAAATAGTATAGCTATTAGCACTTTTTCTACGAGATTAAAATGTGAAACGAGATGTGGCTGCTTTTGTTAATCGCAGGAAGATTGTTTTATTCTTTCTATGTTGGGACACATTTCTTGATTATCCGTTCACTTAATTCTTCAGAAATATAATATGGAAATAGTAACATGACATTATTCATATACGGTCTGTGATCTTATATCAATAATGTCTGTCACTATCTATGAAGGATTGGGCCCAAATTTTTACCCTTATATATCAACACTCTTTTAAAGATCATATTTCACAAAATTTTGTAGGATATAATGTAACTCTAGAAGCTGATATATAAACAAAAGTTTCAAAGTTTAATTTCGGTTTCCAATAGTGACAATACAATAAAAAATTCTCTCCAAACTAATCTTTCAGTTCTTTTGAAAACCCTTTCATTACCTTCGGGTAAAAGCAGACAAATAACTTTCTGAGCTCATATTCATAAAGAACACAGAACTCTGGTTCTAACCCATAGTGTTTCATTTATCAAGAATATATTGAATCGAATTAAAATGTAAACAGATATTTTATTGAGAAACTTTCGCACTAGCCATTGAAGAATGACAAGTATGATAATACAATTCGAATATAAAATAATGATTCAAATTAACTATTACAACTTTATTTATGTTTTGGTTGTTAGTCGAGATAGATGAATAAAATTATGTACGAGTTAATGTAGATGAAATATGAGTAAAAGAAAGTATACTTGCAAGTGGTGAAATGAGTCAGTAAAAATCTTTTTTTTTCTTCAATTTTCTGTATGTGATTTCATGATCTTTGTGTTTAAAGGAATGTCAATTGAAGTAAAACGTAGGTTTTGTCGTAACACTGTATCATTTTTATTATATCACAGTGCAGAAGTAAATCATTAAAGTCATTATAGTGTTAAGAAATCATAGAAAGCATGATTTAATAAATAGGATTTGTGAATTGAACATGAAGTGGTAGTAAAACGATCTACATCAAACTAAAATACCATGTTAGAGTTCATGATTTGGATAACAGTTGGCAATCTACCAAATTTAAATTCTTCGTCAATTAATATTTATCGAACATGACTTACTGAGTGTCCTCTTTCTTTATTGCTTTATTTTCTCTTTTAATCATAGCTGATTTCATAGCTGTCATCTATTTTCTAACTGTCTTTCAATAATATTATGAATTCTTTTTTTCTCTATAGTTGAATAAAACAAAATTATTAAATATAAATATATTTTATTCAGCAAATATCAACAATCATATAAGTGATAGAGAAAATCTAAATCCTAGACAGCACGTAGATGAAAGATTTATTAAATCTATAGAGGTCTAGCACGTATCTCTTCTCTTATTGTCATGAAGTAATGCTTTGTGATAGATAAATAAAGTGAAAAATTCTTGTACTATTGTATTCGACAATTGTCTTTGGTACTATCAATTTGAAAAAAAAAAGTGTTCATTATAGAAAGAAAATGGCTACTCCTTCTAATTATTAAAGTTCAGTAATGCATACTAACATGAACAATCTCGATGGAATTAAGACTGATATTTATTATTTACCAACGTCACCTATACGACCAATACCACCACCTGCATATCCAATGCAATCACCATCATCATCACCTTGTGCAATAGTACTACCATTACAACCATCAATATATCCATCACTCTCATTTGACAGCACAAAGACTTCAGAACCATATCAAGGTGTTATAGTTCCTGACGATTGTATTCCTTTGCAAGCAATTCATATTCGAGATTATATGATTTGGTCAATAGCCAATATAGTCTTAGGTCTTATGTTTGGTCTAATTGCTGTGATGTTATCAATACGAACAAGAAAACTAAAACAACAAGGAGATATTGAAGGTGCCAGAAAGATGTCAGAAACTACCTTTATCTGCAATCTCTTAATTACTACTATATTCTTTTTTCTCACAGCATTTTTCATTGTCTATGTCTTTTATATTATGTCATTTCTAAACAACATTGACTAGAAAGGTATTATCAATAATTTATGTAAAAATAATGTTTATATTTGATTGCTTGTTACTATTCTATATATTATTTGTACAGGAACAAAAAAAATATCATATTGCTTAAATTTTAGACTAAATATGGTATTGCATTATTAATCAGATTTATTTTTATCGACGAAATTATAATGATAAAAATATGAACGGACAGCAGTATAATAATAAGGCTTCTAATCAGTGAAAAAGTATATACAATGTCAACGATTGTTTTCTTTTTTTTATTAGAATTAGAGGGCAATTATGTGCTTAATTAAAGCATAGATAACAAAGAGTAATTCAACTAATTTTGATGTTTCTCGATTACATATAGAGTTATATATTTTGATCTTTTGTCATTGCAATTTGAAAACTATGATCATGATTGGTGTTTAACACAAAAGAAAAACAAGTTGTTTTTTGATTCTTTTAATAGTTAAAAATTTGTGAAATATACGTATTAATCAAAGTAGTAAAATTGATTAATGATGATGAAGATCACATACAAGGAAATTATGTTCTAAGATGAGATAATAAACATTTATAACCGATCAAAATGATTGTTGTTTCAAAAAAATATGCATGGACTTTGCTTTAAGATAACAATGAATAACTAACTATCAGCATTTGATTGTTTTCAGTATATATAAATTAATTTAATTACAAATACATTAACATCAAATGAAAAAATGAAAAGATTCTTCGATGATTATCAAAAAGTATTCGAAACAAATACTCTTTACTGATTTTTTTTTCTGTATTATGTACTTTATAAATCAATTACAATCATAAAAGAGATTATATTGACTTCATGATCTTCTGGAATAAAATTATTATACTATCATATATTATGTTTCCATTAAAATTCTAGATTTAATACTTCTTTTTATGAAAATATTTTATTCATAGGTGGTATATAATATAATTACTTAAAACATATAAAGAAACTGCGCCAAAAGCGAAAGAAAAAATAAAACTTCGATATTATAATTTAAAATGACAGAACACGAACAATCCATAGGATCTATTGATGTATGCTGTTGTTGTTCTTAAATTTTAACTATAATTATCTTACAATAGATTATTCCAAATAATATTACATTATATTGGATGTCAGGTCAAATAGCTTCATGGAAAATTCGTATTGCTCTTGAAGAAAAACAATTACAAGGTTATAAAAGTATTATGATTATTCAACCAGATCAAATTGATAAAAATGATCATTTCTGGAAGAATAATGAATATGGCATTGTTAGAAATTGAAATCTTTTATTTTTAATTAATATAGATCTTTATTTAGATACCATCATTAAGAATACAAGATATTACATTGAATGGTGTTTTACCAGTACTTTTATTTCTCGAAACTTCAATACCATCATTATTACCTGAATCTTCATTAGAATTAAAAGGTCATGTACTCGAACGTGCATTTGAAGTAGAAATTTTTATTTAAAACAAATAATAAATACATATATATTTCAATTATTGATCTTATTTAATTATATAGAGTTTAGAGTTTCAACGTGTATGTTCTGAAGATCTAATTAGTTATTTCTTATCTTTTGATAATTTTAATACATCATTTATTGATACAAATCTACGAGAAAAACGTGAAAAAAAATTATTTTCTGAATTAATTCGTTGGAATGATTATATTACACAAGTAAATAAAAATTAATTATTTCAAATATTTTTCTTTTTAAAATTTTTCAAGGTAAATCCAGTGAATTATATTGCTCATACATCATTTACTCTAGCTGATATATTATTTTTTCCAGAACTAGCTTTAGCTGTACAATTTGGTTTATCACTTGATTATTTCTCTTCTCTTAGTTAGTAAAACTATTTTTTATTAATAGATATTCAGTAATGATCATATTGTATAGATATCTATTATGAAACACTTTCAAAACGTCCATCTATATATAAAACATGGCCTTATCATTGGCTTCATACTAATATTAAATATGACTGGCTTTCAAATATCAATCAATTTGCTATGTTTAATACAAAACAACAAAAATTAATTGAATCAACATCACATAAATCCATTGATCAAGATAAAAATGAAAACATAGAATTATTAAGTCAATCATCTGAGAAAATGAAAAGTCTAGATGATAAAACGGATGAATTATAATTGAATCATTCTTATTTCATCAATAGATAGAAAGGACAAGAGTGTCACATTTCTTTTCTTTGTTCTCTTCATCTTACTATTTTTACTAACATGTCATTTAACTACTAGTAGTTGATTGTCTCGATTATAACAACATGCCAATATAACAATCATCGAATGAGTAGGAAGAAAAGAAAGAACGTCAAGGGTTATATGTACACATGTTTACTTTGATCCTTCTGTATGTGTATCATTCATTCTTCTTAGCTTTGACTGATCGGAAGATTTTATATCGAAATAGTTTGATCAACAAATCTATGCTTGTACACAAATGATTAGTTTCCGCCTTCACAGTCCGTTGTCGATCGACTCAAGTGACTTTTGACACGAATCAATTAAGAGAGAAAGAAGAGAAAAAGAACAAAAAAAAAAGAAGAATGAACGATTGTAATCATTGCATAGATTCGTAAGACAGATTTTATATTATAATGATCGAAATCAGTTGAATAAAGAATCATAAGATACCGCCAATGACTAAAGGCGGCAGTGGCAAATCTAAAACATTAGGTAAGTAAAAAAAGAAATATAACAGAACTAAGATGAATCCTTTTACATTTTATTTAATGTACAAGGTCGTCTGATCTTTGGAGAAAAACGAAAACCACATGCATCACCAGTACGTCATCAATCATCAACACGAAATAGTGCAAATGTGCCTGATCCAACATCATCTAGTGATGCTACGATAAATAAAACTCCACTCAATGTACAAGATTGGGCTGTTTGGCGAATACAATTGAATGAACAAATGGGAAATGTTATGAATGATCAACGATCTGAACTGAAACATATGCGACAATTTCTTCAATCAAATTCATTTTATCAACAACATAGTCGAGATCCGTCAGATGGTCGATATAATGGTGTACAATTACTTTTCTCTATTCCTCATGCTAATATTAAACCGGAATTTTTCGATGAATCACGAGGAGAAATTACTAAAGGTAATAACAATGAAATAGAAGAGACACCAGTCTATGAAGAAGAAAAAGTTCGATCGAATAGTGATGATCGAACAACAACAAGTGTTAATTCAATTTCAGCTGTACAACCAATGGTTCCTGATAAAACGATTAGTCAATTATTTCCTAAAGGATTAGTTGGAAATACGAATAGTGGTTTTCGTTCAACAAATGAACCAATAATAGCAATTGATAGAATACATCCTCGGTAAAATCTAATGAATAGAATCTTCAGTTTTTATTTTTTATTTTTGTATATATTTATATTTAGCCGATCAATTCGACGATCTTTCATAGCTCCGGATCGAATTCATGCAACATTACAAAAAGCTGTCAAAGATGGAAATGTTCTCGAAAAAATTAAAGCATTCGAAATGCAAGCAGCTGCAGCACAAGCTGAATCCGTAGGCAAATTAAGTAGTATAAATCATCGAATACAAACTGTTACATCATCATTCCAACCAACTACTCATCATAGATCAAGTCCAGCTATTGTTCATCCTATACAACATGCTATGTCTTCAATTCCTATACAATATCAAAAACAACAAACTATTCATTCCAGTCGAGGTCGTTATGTTCCTTCAGTTCAACAACAACAACAACAACCTGATGATAATCATGGTCCTATTCTTGGTCACAAATCTCGAAAAGGAGCACATGTTCTTGAACCAGCTCATGGTGATATTATTCTTAAACGGCGAACACCATCACAAAAAGATACTAATGATGAAGATTACTCAATGACAGCAATTAGTTCTATACAATTACCAACTCCTCAAAATCATCATCGTAATCATCATCATCATAATCATTATCATAATCGAACAAGTGCATCTCGTTCAAGACAACGTCAAGATGTGATCTATGACAAACGTGCACCAAATAAAACTGAAAATATTTCTCATAAAAATCAACAAAAATCAAAAGGAACAATAACATCATCAGGTAAATTATCTACACGACGTCGTTGGCTTAAAGGACGGAAAGAAACATCTGCAGAAACTACTTCCAATCAAGTTGATAAACAACAATCATCAACTACTAAATCAAATAAAACTAATACAAATAAGAAGAAAAATATTGAACAAGAAAAAATTAATTCAAAGAAAACATCAACAACAAATAATAAAGAAAAATTATCATCGGATAATAATCGTGTTTATGGTGTACCAAATACAAATATTAATGAACAAACAAAAAATGAATCATCATCATTACAAACATCACTTAAAAATGAAGAAAAAAATGAATTAGATCCAAAAAAAGATACAATTAATAATACAAATACTTTTATTTCATTAAAACAAGATAATATGAATCAAGCTAAAGAATGTGATACAATCACACCAATAACAATTCAACGACAACCAAGTAAAAAATATCGTCAACAAAAATTATCTAGCATAGATGGAGAAATTTTAACCAAAGTCGATGATGATAATCGGTTTGTGCTTTAATAATCTTCTTTTGTAAAACACAACATAAAAGAACTGTTGAAGTATATAGGATAGAAATTTGCATCTCTTCTCCACAGATCATGATAGACATCTTAGCAAAGACACATCACAAACGCAGTGGTGATCGAATGGGAGGTATAACATCCGTCCAATCGTGGAAAAGTTTTATTTTTTCTAGCAGAGCTGAAATTCTCTTTTTGCGTTCTATTAGAAGATATTCTCCCTTTTTGATAAATCATCCCTTTTTGATAAATCATCCTTGTAGTATGGAAGTGTTGTCTAGTGGTAGACTAAGTAGCCCGATAGCTTTCCTACAATTATGACTAGTTGTAGCTCTGGATAGAAGGCCGATCTGACACAGAGTTCCTACACTCAGTAGCTTGAGCTTCTCATACATTCACTAGTCACAAAAGCAGGTGTATGTCACCAAGTAGTCAGCATACTATCGACGGTTGATTCGAGACAAACAGGTGTCTTTAGTAACTTGTCCAGAATCATTTCATAACTGATGATATCAAGGCTTGAGTACAATACCTTGTGAATTCCTGCCGAACAACGTAGTCACTTAACCATGAAAGCCTTCATAACCATAGAAACGTCATAGACTTTGACAGATATCATCGATACACGATCAAAGATCATATATGAATAATGTCTTATCATAAGAAATGCACTACTTCCTTTATTGTATTTCTGAAGGATTAAATAAAAGGATGGTGAAGAAATGTATATTCCAAAATAGATAGAATCAAACAAATCTTCCTGTGATTAGCAATAGCAGCGACATCTTATTTCATATTTTAATGTCGCAGAGATTGTGCTAACAGCTTTTTTTTCTGTTTGGAATATTTTTTATTTTATTTACAGATTTTCTCGTCCCATAACTGATGATTATGTTCATCGTTCAGAGCTCAATGATGATGATGATGATGACGATGATGAGGATGATGATAAAAGTGAAGGCGATGTTTTTATTGAAGAAATACCTAATAAATCTGCACCAAATATAATTCGTCATCAATCAGTTATCAATCTTCCAAATACTGAATCACGTCGTTTTCAACAACAATCATCACATGCACTTCGACGTCATGCAAGTCAATGTTCATCTAATGAATATACATATGATCGACATTATCAACAATCAAGAGAAAATCCTCAAATAATTCTTACAAATACTCTTAAGAAAAAACCACCATCAATAACATTAATAACTCGTAAAAATAAATTAAATCAAGATGAACAATTTGTTTATGAAGCACCTCATTCTGAACAAACACAAGTACCTATATCAAATTGTCATGCAACAAAGAAAAAACGTTCATTTCATACTATTAATGTTACAGGGACAAATAATAGTAATAATGGACAAACTAATAATAATAATAATAATAAACAAATTAGTAAACAAATTCTTCATGCAATTATGAATTCAATGAATAATAATCAAGAACAAACAACAATAGGACCACCAATAACATTATCATCATCGGTAAATGATGAATTTTTTGAAAATGGACCTCTTACAAATCCAGAAGAAACTATGGCAACTATGACAACTTTAATTTCGAAATAAAATAGACTTTTTCTTGTAAAAAAAAAAGCAATATTATTCATTATAGTAGTTTTACGTTTAATAAAATGTTTTAAAAATTACTTATATTCAATGATAGAGATGGTATGCGTAAACTAATTAAGAGTTCAAGTTCATGCAAAAAACAGTATCGAAAAGTTTAGTTGATCCGAATGATAGATTGGCATCAAAGTATCTGTAAGAATTCAAGTTTTTCTATCCACATTTATTTGAGAGGTATTCTTTTTCATTGTTCTATGTATTTTTCATAAAACTCGAATTCTTTTCGGTTTTATGATACCCTATTCTATCATCGAAATAGCATTCAGCTTTTGTTCTAATTACATGAGAACTCAAACAACAACAGTGTATTTACGATAAATTGCTTTGCCATTAATCGTAGAGCAAGGATGCTTTCTAGTGATCTCTTCATGCCAAGTGCATTAGCGAATCTCGAATTCAACAATGATTGGTATTGCTCCCATTGCTTATTGTTCACGTAGTAACTATAATATTCATAAAATTCAATCGTCGATTCTTGTTCCATCTGTTCTCTATTATGAATAATCATCGTCCATTCGTCGACTACTGACAACTATTGATGATCGATAAGACAACCAACTGGTTTGACTATTGATTTAACCAATGATAATATCATTGAATCTATCTATATAAATGTCTAGTTGTCGAAATTAAAGTTCTTCTATTCAGATTTTTAATAATCGATTCTTATATAAATACTCAAACAGTACCAATCAATTCAATCATTTGATTTCAATTGATCACTAGAGCACTATCACGATATATTTTGATATTAATCTGATAACTAAAATAACCGATTTTTTTATTGTAGGACCTTATCCTACATCGAATGTGTCAGTACAATCCTTCATTGAATCTACCGAGTGAGTCAAAATAAACTCACCATAGACACAAATCCTATAACGTTGAACTTTTTTTTTGTAAAAAATGCACCATCAAATTCTCTAGAAAAATGGGATTGAATAATCCCATTGAATTGTTTTAATGATTTTCTTCTAAGCTTAAAATTGAAGTATGATATCGTAATATACTTTACGACAAAAAAAGTTGAAGTGAAATAGTATAAAAATCATGAATGTTCATGATGTTGTTTAACCGCACGAACTCTTGGAAGAATCAATTACTTTGCGAATATAACACAAATAATCTTCTTCATTTGATAATCAATGTTCTTATTGGCATGATTGCATAGAGAGTAATCTAATAGGTTTAAATCCAGTGAATTAGAAGGTCATCGATCTTCAGATGTGATATTTAAGATTTCTGAAGCTCTTTTTTCCTGTTGTTTTAATGACCGATAATAACATCACGAAGATCTTTATCTATTTTCATTTAAAAAATTCAAAGAATGCTTTCGTGCAAAAGTATTAGAGAATTCTAAGATATGTATTACACAAAAAAAATGATTTAATGTTTTATGATTTGTTAGTGGTGAGATATATCTAAAATAATCTTAATGTTATTTTCATTTTTATTTCTCTCAAAGTATTGGAACACTTGATCATGAAAATCATTGAAGCAATTCCGTGAAATTTTTCATTACTATTCTTGTAGAGAATTCTATGGTGCATTTGTTCAAAAACAAATTCAATGTTATAAGATTTGTATCTGTATTGAGATATTTACAAAATACTTAGTGTTACAATCATTTTGATTCATCCGGTATAAACAGTAGCTCCAAAAGTTGATCATACAAATTTCATTTCAATTTCTTTCTGTAATGATAATTGGCATAAAGAATCGAAATAGTGATTTGAACAGAGATATTTGTTTCCAATAAAAACTTGTCAAAAAGGAAATTCTCACCGTATGCCGAAAATCCAGGGTCTCTACAAAATCCAAAATTTAGCTTTTCAACATTCAGACCTTCAAAATAAAAGTTTCTTTTGACTACACAAGGTAATAGGACAACTAATTCTCTAGAAAATGAAATGTTTTCAAGCTCTTCGCGACATTTTTTGACTGATCTACATCAGTTTTGGGAAAAGTCTAAAAGTGGTTTTTTTTCGTCATGTCCTATAGGACAAAAACGACTTGCAGGCTTTTCTTAAAATTGACACACTTCGGTCAAAAAATGTTGTGAGGAGCTGCAAGATATCTCATCTTTTTCAGTTCTGAGTACTGAAAACTAGATTTTAGGTTTTCTAGACATCCTGAATTTTCACAGTATTGTGAGGGTTTCATTTTTTCAAATCTTTGTTGAAAAAATTTCTCTATCCAATTCACTATTTCGATTCTTTATGCCAGTTACCATTACAGAAAAAAATCGAAATTAAATCTGTGTGCTCAATTATAGAGGCTCCTATACATAAGCTACCCGTACTTATCATCGTTCACATAATTAAGATAATAATAAGTAGGACTCTCGATAGTTTTTAGAAATAGGAGGGGCTAAAGATTTCGCAAGTAGCTTTCCAGTAACAGCTTGAGATTTTCAGCTACGAAGCGTAAAAACTGGGAGGAACTAACCCCCACCCCCTCCCTCACACCAATATCTATGCTTAGATTAATATTTGATTTATAGAATTTTCTTAATTTTAGATGACAACAAATACATTAATACAACGTAAAGTTCGTGAATATGAAATATTTTTAAATGATCGTCTTCGTGTCGATTTACAACGTGCATGGTCAGAACGTGATCGTATATTTTCTGAAATTGCTGAATATGAACGTTTACGTGTTACATTAAATACACTTGATGAAATGTATAAAAATCGTAAAGAAACAGATGTTGATGAATTATTACAAACACAAATTGATATTGGATGTTCATTTTTTGCTCAAGCTGAATGTTCAATAAATAATCGAATATTTATTTCGATTGGTTTTGGTCTTTTTTGTGAATTAACATATGATGAAGGAAAAAATTTTGTTGATAAAAAATTACCTTATTTACATGAACAAGAAGTTGAATTATCAAATAAAATTGCACATATTAAAGCTAATATAAAATTAGTTTTAGAAGCATTAAAAGAAATACAAACAATTGATGATAAAAAATCTGAAACAACTATATCACCATTTTGATTATTTTTGTTTTTTTTTGTTTCTCTATTTGATTTTTGTAAAAAGAAAAAAAAAAGAAGAACCAAAACTTATTTGTTTTGTTTATTTTGAAACTGTAAATTTATGAGATATAGTGATATTTTCACCGAAAGAAAAACATGAGTAAATCTAACCATAATTTTGACTTCTGAAGTGATCAAATGTGTTTTTGTTGGAATAGGCAATATTCGAACTGCAAAGTTCGTATCAGGCATATTGTTTCAGAATGAATTTCGGAAGGAGGAAAAACCGAAAACTAAACATTTCTGAAAGAAATATTCTTGCAACTTCACCATAGAGCAACATTACTTCTATTTCTATAATTTATTTTTTATATCAGAAGAATATGAGAAAAATTCGTTTCATGATTCCATGTCATGCAAATCGAGGTTTTTTTGCTTAATTTTTTTAATATTTCGCTTTTTTAGAGTGTAAGCACACTCATGCCGTCTGTACTAGAATCCGTCGGACCCCAAATTTTCGGACCCGATCGAACCATATTTTGATACTTTCAATGATATTTTCTAATTCGGATTGGATACTCGTTCCCAAGGTACGAGATACTTTTTTCCGACTTTTTATCTTCGGTGACTAGCACGTCGTAAGCACTTCTTAGATAAGTAGAGCTCATCAGGTACAAAACTCTTAAACCCAACCCGCTCTAGACTGTAACCCAGCAGCGGACCGAGAATACTAGCGACTCATTAGACTTTGGTAATAAATCAATCAAACAATTGCTTTGCCATCAAAGTCTAGAGGATTGCTCGTGTTCCTCGCTCGCTACTGTCTGTATCAGCTACATCCGCTGTTTTCGAGTTTGATTATTTATTAAAGGTTCTGCCATAAAAGTAGTCAATAATTAAAAGATTTAATCTCTTCCAGACAGAAAATGTTAATTTAACAGAAAAATTATAAAAACTTAATAAAAAAATGTAAACCGTTCGAACCATTGGTTTTGATATAAATATAGAGGGTGTCTGGAAAATCATCTACCAAAAAAGTATACTATATATCTCCACTGTAGTTAAACAAATTCAAGTGCCTTTTTCTCTAGTAATAGAGAAGCTTTATACAGCTAAAGACT